CTGCTCCCAGCCTCTTCATCCAGGGAAAGGGGACAGTGGCTGTTAAACCATTGTTTTCAGTCACTACGTCTTGGTTTGATTTTTTTTTTTTTGGTCTTTTTGAGACAGAGTCTTGCTATGCAGTTCAGACTGGCCTTAGCTCACTTTGTAGCCCATGCTGGTCTCAAACTCACAATGTTGAAGCCGGGTGTGATGGTGCACACCTATAATCCCAGCACTCTGGAGGCTGAGGCAGGAGGATGATTGTGAGTTTGAGACCCGCCTGGCCTACAAAGTGAGCTCAGGCCAGCCTGAACTGCATAGCGAGACTCTGTCTCAAAAAGACCAAAAAAAAAAAGCACTGAATAAGAAGCTCAAGGCCATGCCATGGTCCTGAAAACACAGCAAAATGAAATGCTGCTTGGGCTGGGAGTGTGGCTTTGTGGAAGAGCACCGGCCCAGCATGCATGGGCCGTGAAGGTGATCACCGGTGCTACTAAATACATAGATGCTCAAACAGCTGCCCATCACGTGGGAGGGGAGGCGGAGGATCACAAGTTGGAGACCAGGCTGGGCAACTTAGCAAGACTGTTTCAAAACAAAATTCCTAAAAGAGATGTAGCTCAGTGGTAGAGCACTTGCCTAGAGTGTACAAGACTGAGGTTTGATCTCCAGTACTGCAAAGAAAAAAACATAGTTGTGTTTTGCATTATTTGTCTATGCTGAAAGCAAGCAGTTTGGTGCAGGGGACTGAATCATCTCAAACCCATCAAGGTTAATAACCGTTTGCTCCAGCAGGGCTGAGGTGAGCTGAGCTTCTCCTGAGCCTCGTGGTTCTGTAAAGTGGGTGAAGTAATCTCAGTTAGGAAGGAGGGAGAGGGGTAAGGGATGCTGGCTGGTGGCTGGCTGCATTGGTTTTTTGTTTTTGTTTTTGTTTCCAGTACTGGGAATCGAACTCACAACCTTGAGCTTGACAGGCAGGAGCTGTGCCGCTGAGCTAAATCCCCAGCCCCCTGGCTGCATTGTTAATTGTCTCTTTTGCGGCGCAACTGTTATTTCTTTATTTTTTATTTTAAAGAGAATTAAAAAATAAAAAAGATAATTTCAAAACAAGATAGGAAATTAACAATGGTTGTTACATTGCGTATTGTTATCTTCAAAGCAGTTGTTCAGATTACTATTGTTATTTCTTGAAGGGAGACAGTAGTGATGGAGAGACGTTTAGGTTATGCAGTCCCAAACTGGCCCAAACAATGATTCTGTTCACTTACTTGTACTTACTGTGGAAGTGGTGCTGGTCTGACTCAGAGCCAAGATACCTTGGGAGTCCATTTAACACAGTGGCTCCGGGATTACTACAGACAGTTCTTCATAGCTTTCTTTTTTTTTTTTTTTTTTTTTTTTTTTTTTTTTTGTCTTTTTGAGACAGGGTCTCACTATGCAGTTCAGACTGGTCTTGAACTCACTTTGTAGCCCAGGCTGGCCTCAAACTTGAAATGACCCTCCTGCCTCAGCCTCCCAAGTGCTAAGATAACAGGCATGTGACACCATGCCCAGCAAAATTAAGTTATTCATGGATACATAATTCTTTTCTTTTTTCTTTTGGTACCAGAAATCAAACTCAGGACCTTGTGTTTGCCAGGCAGGTGCTGTGCTACTGAGCTATATCCCTGGCCCTTGATAGCTTTCTAACACTTGTAATTCTGGACCAGCCACTTTACCTATGCAAGTTCATGTCTGCTTATTTGAAATTAGGGATAGTAATACATATAGCTACAAAGGTTTTAGTCAGAATTCAATAAAACCACATGTATAAAGCATTTAACACCATGCCTGACCATGGAAGAGCTCAACAAATGACAGCTGTTAACATTACTATATATATGCTACGATACATGTGTTACTAATTAAGAAATATGTATTACTTTCCAAGTGTGAAAACCCATGTTGCGCTTTGATGTGGATATGAGCTAATAGACCTTGGAGAACACACAGAGTCTTGTTAGGGAGCTGAAAACCATGGTTATCAAAAGACTGGACTCAGTCTATACGCGAAGGCCAGTCCCATGGCCCTAGAGGGGAAGCTACTATGAAAGACTAAGTGAGTGCTGAAATATTTTTCCACATAAAATCTTGAGAAATTTTCCAGTCTTGGAGATCCGCCGCTGAGCCATTTACATAGGAATCCATGGCTCCGTTTTGGCTGGTCACCCTGAGTGCTCAGCGCCACCTTGTGGTGTTTACGTGAACAATCGTTAGGAAGGGAGGGAGCTCCAGTGATTTCTCTTCTTGCCATTTCACTGCTTGGCATCCAGGTCCTGTTATTGCATCATAAACTCATGCATGTATCCAGGCATGTATTGTGATATAAATTTATTTTAGAATAGCTTTACAAGCTTGGCAGAAGTATGCGGGGTTGAACCCAGGGCCCCATACATGCTAAGCATGTGCTCTAGCGCTGAGATATGTTCTAGCCCAACTAGATTTCTTTCTTTTTTTTTGGTACTGGGAAGCGAACTCAGGACCTTACACTTGCCAGGCAGGTGCCTGTGCCACTGAGCTATACCCCAGCCCAATAGTTAGTACTTTAGTGCCCTATCATTTAAATAGTAAATATACTACTTAAAAAACATTTTTATTATTTCATATGACTTTTTATAAACATAACTGCCCTTTTTTTTTTTTTTCTTTTTAAGACAGGGTCTTGCTATGCAGTTCAGGCTGGGCTTGAGCTCACTTTGTAGCCTAGGCTGGTCTCAAACTTGCAATGATCCTCCTGTTTCAGCCTCCCGAGTGCTGGGATTACAAGTGTGCACCACCACACTCAGCCAAACATAACTTCCCTAAAATTTTTTTTCTGTCTTTTTTGAGACAGGATCTCACTATTCAGTTCAGGCTGGACTTGTGTTCTCTTTGTAGCCTAGGCTGGTCTCAAACTCGCAGTGATCCTCCTGCCTCAGCCTCCCTCACGCTGGGATTTCAGGCGTGCACCACCACACCTGGCATTAAAATTTTTTTGAACTGGGTGTGGTGGTGCGTACCTGCAATCTCAGCACTTTAAGAAGCTGAGGCAAGTTTGAATGCTGCCTGGGAAACTTATGGAGATTCTATTTCAAAATTTAAAAAGGGGGTAGGTTGTAGTTCAGTGTAAAAGCCTTGGGTTTAACCCTCTGTACCTGAAAAAAAAATTTAAGGGCAAGGGGCATAGTGTAGTGGTAGAGTACTTGCTTACCATGTGTAAGGCCCTGCCTGGGTTTGATCGCCAGCACTTCCCTTCCCAGTTTGTTTTTTGCAATTACATATGTACCAGGTGCAGGTGAGAGTACTTTAAGAAGAGCTCTTTGGAACCAGACTTTGTGCCCTTGTTGCTGGTAACGAATCTTTCTAAACCTCAGGCTTCTCCTTCATAACAGAGGGCACAGTATGTCTTATGACAGGTTTCTGTGAGGATTTAACAAAGGGAGCATAGATTAAGATCAAGAATAGATTAAGAAATAGTGGAGTGTATGTCCTGGCCCTGCCATTTACTGAAACTCTGGACAAGTGACCTCTCTGTGCTTCAGTCTTATCCGTAAAATGGAGAAAAGCAGGACTTAGCTGCTTGCACCAATGTGCTCAATGGGGCTCAGTGCCTGGCCTAGGGCAAGTGTTCAACCTCAGCTATTATGGACCCTGAATAACCTCCAGGGCCGAGATTATACTGTAAACTCAATTATCCCGTCTTAAACCCTCTGCCTGGTGCCCCAGATTCAGGAGAGGCGCAGCATTTAACATCTGTGTAGATACTACTCTCACGGTAGCTAGTGATATGCAGCTTTTTCTCCCCACTGAGGTGGTGAACAAGTGACCCGTGTGCCGGTCCCTGACACACTCTAAATTGCCATACAAATATAAATAGCAGATCACACCTTTCCGTTTAGTGCTCTGTAGCGGAGACTTACAGACACTTACTTAGATCTATGTGTCAGAGTAATGAAAGCATAAAAGACATAGGTGTGTGAAATGTGGCTGGCGCCTGACCTGCTCCCCTTGGGGGGTTGTTTGGCAGACAATCTGAAGACCGCTTTCCTTTCTGAGCAGAGGTAAGGAAACAGACTTTGCAGTAAGACAGAGAATCAAATTCTGGTCCAGACACTCACTATGTAGTTTCAACTTGGATGAGTTTTTCTTAACCACTCTGTCTATTTCTACAAACATGAACCTGAGTTTCCTCAGGAATTTCAGGATTAAATGAGAAGTGTATGGTGAAACTTTTAGTCCAGTCTCTCCACATTCAACCCACTGAGGTCTCCTAATTTATGTATGGTCTTGTTTTATTGCTCCAGTAGCTCTCTCAGGCAACCTCACTCAGGAAAGGGCTTGCTTTTTGTTTGTTTGTTTGTTTGTTTGTTTTTTGGTCTTTTTGAGACAGGGTCTTGCTATGCAGTTCAGGCTGGCCTTGAGCTCACTTTGTAGCCAAGGTTGGCCTTGAACTCGAAATGATCTTCCCGCCTCAGCCTCCCGAGTGCTGGGATTACAGGTGGCGCCACCACACCCGGCAGGGCTTGCTTTTTCCTTGAGCACCAAGTGGAGAGTACAAAGAACTGAGTCTGCGTAACTTCAGTGATTTTTAGAGCCACACGTTAGAAACAGTTCAAATAAAATCTCTTTTGGGGTCCAAAGTTAAAAAGAAATTTTATTAGTATTCCTTTATCTTATATATTTACATCTATCATTTTATAATCATGAGAAAGATGCTTTGGTAACACATCAGAAATCTAAAGGTGGCCACTGCAGGCTTATGAACTGCAGCATTCAATTCTGTCTTGAGTACTCTGGGGACTGCTTCCCTTTCTTGGCAGTGGACAGAATATAGGCTTTGCAGTTAAGAGAACTGAATTCCGGCCCAGTACAGAATTGCATAGAGCCGGGCATGGTGGCGCAGGCCTGTAATCCCAGCACCTGGGAGGCTGAGGCAGGAGGATTGTCGTGAGTTCGAGAACAGCCTACAGGCTACAAAGTGAGCTCAAGGCCAGCCTGAACTGCATAGCGAGACCCTGTCTCAAAAAAGACCACAAAAAAAAAAAACAAACAAAAAAGAATTGCATAGAATCAGTAATTCTGATTCACACAGAAAATAGCAATATCCTAACTATAACAAATGATCTTTACCTTATTTTTTTTGGTAGGGGGAATCAAACTCGGGCCCTCGTGCTTGCCAGGCAGGCACAATCCCACTGAGCTATATTCCTGTGATCTTCATCTTAAATGAAGAGCAATACACAGTTAAAAACTACTGATGACACACATCACATGTGACGCTAACAGGTGCACCTGCTACTAAACAAGCTGACATTTCCAGGTTTGGGCAACATATGTGCCTGAGCCTTTCCTGGCCTCTCAGGGTACTGCACATATGTAGTGACAGACTTTTTGTGCAAGTATGTATGACAAGAAATTCACTAGGGAGAACTTAAATAAACATTAGTATAGACATATGCCCCTTCTAGCCAATGGCACATTTGGAAGTCATTCAATAAGCTCAGAAACGACAGAGACTAAGCTGCACAATGAGTTACTCGGCAGCACAAGGTAGGGACTGCTTAACATCTACTACTGGACTGATCTACGTCATGCTCTGCCCATCGCAGCATTCCTTGCTGGTTTCCCAAGATTCAGGTGAGCCGGGCCTTCTCCTCCTCAGCTGCCTCCTTCTCCTTCATCAGTGACAGTAACTGCAATAAACCAGGGGCGGGGCCGCCCTCTGGCAGATTAAGCTGTCTGCGCACTGCTCTGTTGACTGCCCCAGCAATGATTTGGTCTAGGCGGGCCTGTTTCACACTTTCTCAGCTGCTCCTCTCTGTACCAGTTTCTGTAATAAAGGTCCCAGCCTTAGGACCTAAGAGGACAACTTTCCCTTCCCTTTCTGATAGATGGATAGATATTTCAGCTGCAACCCTCCAAGATTATCAGCCCCAAATCCTGGGGGCTGCAGGCATTTGGGGACTGTAATTAAAGGATAACTTGTCTTGAGGATGCAAGTAATACCAAATGCTGGGCCTCTGAGGCCATCAGTCGCTTTCTCTTCTCTGCATCTGACACTTTCCACGTCATCATCAAAGTGGTGTGGAACATTCAAGGTCCAAATTCTTCACTTGGTTCTGGAGGATCCCTGCCTGAGATTACCCTCAGCTTTTTAAACTTCAGGTATTGCAGGGTAGGGTGAAGGGCTTTATCTGACGCCTCTGTCAACAATGGGCCCTACACTTCTGGGATCATGCCCTGGTTTAGGTCATTAGGGTCATTTCTTTACCCAAGAGCACTGGTCAGCTCATTCACTGTCATGCCCTCTTCGTCTAAAAACTCAATCTGCTTAAAAATTAACTTTTGGGGCCGGGGGCTTGAAGATCACCCTCCAGAAACCCCTCTGTCCAGTATCTACTTGACGCCCGGGGCATAACTAGTGTCCTCAGTATGCCCTCTTAAGGCTCCGTTCCTGCCCTCTTCTCTCCGGAACATCCTTCCACGCACTCTTACTCCCCAAGCGGGGCCAGACCAGTCCGCAGGGCCCGTACGATTTGTTAGCCCGCAGGCCCGGGGTATACCAGCAATCAGGAGTGCTTTGCGAGGGTTCGTGCCCATCCCTGCACGAGCCGTCCAAGAGCTGCGGCGTCAGGGTGCCCAGATTTCAGATGGAATTTGTCGGGTACGCAGATGCCCCCGGCACTTAACAGTACTCTTGCGCACTACCCCATACAGGGCTCGTAAACGTGCCGAGCTGCAGATGCCGGTGAGGGACGAGCAGGCAGATCAGTTAATGGTCCACATCCAGGGCGCAAGTACCGGACCCGCGCCGTGCGGCGAACCCCGTCCGCCGGAAGTCAGGGTGCAGGGAGCACTCTCCCGGCTCCTGCCGCAGGTGCCGCTCGCCCCGCCTGCCTCCCTCATCGCTCTCCGCGGCGGAGCCCGCAGTGTCTGCCGGCGGCCCGGAACCAGGCCGGCTCCCGACCCGCACGGGAGGGCGGGCGCCGCCGGCTCGGTGCACGTTTGTGCAGCGCGCCCAACGCCCGCGGTGGATGCCGGGCCGCCTGTCCCGGCCGTGTTCTCCGCAGCCAGGTGTGACCGGTCAAACGAAGCACAGGGACCCCGAGCACTGCCGCGCGACTGTCTCGTTAGCACTGTTGGTCCCCATTCGTGCGCTGTCGGGCGCACGCGAGGCGCTGGCACCTCCCCGGCGTCACGAGGGGGCGGCCCGGGGAGCGTGTGCTTCCGGCCTGAGCCGGAAGCCCCAGCTGCAGCGGCATCCGGGACGGCGGGCGGGCGGGCCACTCGGACAGGAAGGTGAGACCCGGGACCCACTCAGCTTTGCAGACAGTGTCGTCAGGCGGTCCCCGCCGGGTGCTGGGCTCGCTCTGCTGCAGGACGGCGAGGCTGAGGCTTGGCGCTCTGGTCGCGGCGGGCAGGCGGGCGCTGCGGCGCGACAGGGGGCGGGGCCGGCTGCCCGGGAGGCCCCGGAGCCTCCTGACCGGCCGGGTGATCCAGACGGCTCCGGCAGCGGCGACAGGCACCTGGCCGCCGCGTGACTAGCCCTAGTCACGCAGTACTTAATCACAGTTAGCTTGTGCTCCAGGCTGGCGGTGCTCATGTCTCTCCGAGCCGGGTAACCCAGGGGACTTCTTATGGTGGCTTGCTTTGAAATGCCAAAGGCACCTGATTACTCAGAACTGAGTGACTCTTTAACGCTTGCCGTGGGAACAGGAAGATTTTCGGGACCACTGTAAGTGTTCAAGAGTTACTGTCTTAACTTGGGCCTCTGCCATTGGTTTAACTAATAGAACCCCATATTTATGTCTGAAGCAATACTGTTAAGGCATAAAACTGTTAAGTGAAATGTCCTATATGATACTTTCAGTTTCTGAAGGGAAGATGTACGACTGGACTTAAGCACAAGGTACATTATAATATAATGGTTCATTTTGTGGGATTCATACGAAAAGCAGAACTCAGTGTATTGAAACCAACGTTTTGTACTTGCCTGTAACTATTACATATAAAACAACCACCTGTAAGTCGTTGGCATTTAAGGTAGATGTGATTTAATCATTTAAAACTTGAATGTGTTAGTGGGCTACTTTAGAACTCTTGGAACTAAACCAAGTATACTTAGGTGTTTTTTGTTGTTTTTAAGACAGGATCTCGGTGTGTAGCTCAGGCTGGCTTTGAACTCACTTTGTAGCTCAGCCTTGCCTCACACTCCCGAGGGTACTCCTGCCTCAGCTTCCCAGAGTGCTGGGATTACAGGTGTATGCCACCACCCCCGGCTAAACCAAGTACATTTGGAAGAGTTGCCATGACAGCATTACTAAACCCTGTCTTTTTATTTAAGGCACAGAGCATGGAGAATGATGAACTTCCGTCAGCGGATGGGATGGATTGGAGTGGGATTGTATCTGTTAGCAAGTGCAGCAGCATTCTACTACGTTTTTGAAATCAGTGAGACTTACAATAGGCTGGCTTTGGAACACATCCAACAGCACCCGGAGGAACCTGGTGAAGGAATCACATGGACACACTCCTTGAAAGTTCGGTTACTCTCTTTGCCTTTTTGGTTGTGGACGATCATTTTTCTAATACCTTATTTACAAATGTTTTTGTTTCTTTATTCTTGTACAAGAGCAGACCCTAAAACAGTGGGCTACTGTATCATCCCCATATGCTTGGCAGTTATTTGCAATCGCCACCAGGCATTTGTCAAGGCTTCTAATCAGATCAGCAGACTACAACTGATTGACACATAAATTAGTCACCAGTTTTCCTTATGATAACAAAACTGCCAGAACTATTTGGAGTGTGATCACACGACTGCAGTTTCTTCACAGATCTCAGGAAGTTGTGGTGGGGCTGAGGCTTTTTAAAAACTGTGGCTAGGGACCGATCTTTATCTAAATAATGACTTTTTAGGGAAAGCCTGAGATACAGTACTACAGAATCATGTTGATGACTTCAGATTTTGGAAGTAAAATTGTGTCTTGTTACTTGCATTGTTTAGAAACTTGAGTAAGTATTTCTACTCTACTGTGCAACATAGTGATGATTTCTTTTTTCCTTTGGGGAAAAAATGAACAAGAACATTTCCATCGTGTTAAGTGTAAAAAAGTCTAAACATGGTCATAAAGTTTAAATTTTATATAATTACTTGACTTGCTCTAAAATTCTTCAAACTAAAAGACCAGTTCACCCCATCGTAGCTAAGTTGAATGTTTGTTTGCTTTCAGTTTATGAGGAATTGGTATAAATTATTGAAGTGATTGCTGATTTTTTTTCCCTCCCGGCACTGGGGACTGAACGAGGGCCCTACATAGACCAGGCACAAACTCTTACCACTGATCCACACCCCCAGCCAAGGTGGCTGTCTGATAATCAGAATTTGTTCTTTTTCTGGGTATTGGCTAGATTAATCATATTGTTACTCGTTTTTAAAAAGCTATGTGGGAAGAGACTAAATGTTTGACAGTCTAGAAATAATTTACACCCGGGCGTGGTGGTGCACGACTGTAATCCCAGCACTTAGGAGGTTAAGGCAGGAGGATTGTTGCAAATTTGAGACCAGCCTGGGCTACAAAGCAAGCTCAAGGCCAGCCTCAGCTGCATAGGGAGACCCTGTCTCAAATAACTTATACACAAAAGATGGGAATGAGGTAGTCAGTGAAAATATCACAGGTAATTTAGTCTAGTCCTTCAGAGCACGATAGCCTTCTAAAAGTTACTAACATCATCCTGATTTTCTTTTCTGGCCCAAGGTCTCATCTTCAGGCAATGGCATGAAGATGTGATCCTTGTACCTCCTCTGCATTTGTAATGTTTTCTACCAATGCAAATGACTAAAAAATGAATAGTTTTTTTTTCTCTTCTGAGATCAGGCTATATTTTTATAGTTATGTTAATACTGGGCAACAAAATATTTTTAAAGTAATGGTCATAATGGTCATATTTTTTGGTGCTTACTCTGTTCAACTTGTTTTAAGAGCCTTACATGAATTGTTATACTGCAGTGGCCCTGAGATAGCAATTATGACTCAGATTTTATAGCTGAGGAAACTGAGGCAGAAATTAAGTAACCTGTTAAAGGTTACATAACTGCTGAGTAACAGTCAGGGTTAAAATAGGCATTCTGATACTTGTGTTCCTTACCATGGACTATAGTGCTTTTCAAAGATGACAAATGTTTAAGCACTAGGTACTGTCTCCCCAGTCATGCCAATGAATGGAAATGGCAATATTAGAAAAATTTCCCTCAATTTGACTGAGCTGCTGGAAACCCGAAAGTTAGTGACCTCACTTTATGTCACATTTGACCAGAAAGACTAAGCATTCCACAGCAGACTTTTACTAAGAAGATGGGCCAGGTACCTTTGTAATTCCAGAACAGCAGAACCTTCCTTATCACAGAGATAGTTCTAGTTACTGAATATTCTGATACAGTACTCAGTTTTCCAAAGCAGCAGCAGTTGGAAATGCTGGTTTCTGGTAGGGTACTTAGGCGTGCTGTAGGCGTTATTTTTTGAGTGTTTTTTTTTTTTTTCCCCCCTTCACTGTAGCCCAATAAACAGTGTGCTGGTACGAGTGCCATTTTACAGAAAAGAAAATCTAAACCACATAGGAATTAACCTGTCCATGGTCACAGAACAATTCTGACATTTTATTATGTCTTCTCAAAAGATAAATTATCTGGGTGTGGTAGTGCACCAAAGGCTGAGGCACAAAGATCACCAAGAATTCATGGCCAGCCTGAACTATATTGTGAGACCCTGCCCCCACAAAACAAGCAAAAACAATTTTAAAAAAAGGTAAAGTAAGACAAGTCGTGGAGTTCTTTCCTATTTTATTAATCTTGCAGCAGCGATAGATTGGAAATTTAAGAAAAATTTTTAATTATTTTTGTCTTATAAGTGCTTCATACATTACAAAGTTTGTGAGTTTGCCACTTGTGAAGTAGTAATTTCTTTTTAATGAAATAGGTTGGTCTCTTTTATACTTGTAAATCTTGAATTTTGAGCTTTGGAAAGTAAATGTTTATCTCTGACAATCGTATTGCCTTGATCACACAAGTATCACAAAGAGGATTAATATATTCACAAATACAACTATAATTTTCAGATTACAGAGTTAATCTGCTTTTTGATTATTTAGGGCTTATTTATCCAAGATGTGGACATGCCTAGATTTTCTGAATGATGATTTAACATCTCAAAGCATTCCTCTGGTAGGGTATAAAGGGTAAGATAACTAAGAAAGAGACTGAAACTGATAGCTAGGAGACAGTATAATAGCAAATAATTCATTTCATATTCTCAGTGCCAATACGAAAAGCAGTGACTACAGGGTTATGTAGTGAGATGAGTGGCAAATATGTAAGTGCTTCAGGGATTTTAGGGAAGGGAGAGGCATTCTAGGACCCATAACTTCCCTATGTGAAAAAAACAGGGCTGTCTCCCACTATGATTTAATAAGTCATTTTACTTCCAATACACTTGAAATAGTACTGTTGTTTTTCACTGAAATAAGTCATACTTTTTTTCTGGTTTTAAAGACACTACCCGTTTTAAAGGAAAAATGTGATTTCCTAAAGTTTAGTAATTTGATGCTATTTCAAAACCTTTACAATGAACAAAAGCTTTTCTTTAGGGAAGTAGAAATAATGAGATAAAGTACTCATGTGAAAGTAACTGGGCCCATAAAAATAATCAAACCAGTGTGTTCATCAGTAGTAGTAGTAATCTTTTTAAATTAAGATTATCTAGTTGTCTTAGTTAACTTTTTGTCACTGGGACAATACCCAACACCCACAACTTAGAAGTACATGTTTTCACTCCATGTTCAGCTGGTTCCAAGGAAGGGGAGAACCCAGCAGAGAAAACTGAGTAGCCAAGAAGGAAGATATACTCTCTAGGTCACACCCCTAGGGATCTGACTTCCAATCAGACCCCACCTCCTAACAGTAATGCAGCTAGAGGGCCACCATGATCCAGTCACCTTCCAAGAGCCCCCACTATGTGTGCATGAGCCCTCTGGGGGACATTTTCAATCCAAACCATAACACTAGTGTTGATTTCCTTTTTCTTTTGTCTTTTTGAGACAGTCTCCCTATACAGTTCAGCCTGGCCTTGAGCTCACATTGTAGCCCAGGCTGATCTTGAACTTGCCACGATCTTCCTGTCTCAGCCTCCCAAGTGCTGGGATTACAGGCATGTACCACCATGTCCAGCTTGATTTCCTTCTTGATGGACTGGTGGATTTAACATTCTCCATCTCTAAAACACTAGACACATGAGATTACTATAATGCTACATGACTCTTCTTTTTTTTTTTTTAAAACCACTGGCTATGAAAACTAAACCTAGGGCCTTCCCATTAAGCTACATCCCCAGTCCTTTTAAAATTTTGAGGAAGTTTTTGATGAGTTGCCCAGGCTGAACTTGTGATCTTCTTGTCTCAGCCTCTTGAGTGCTGGGATTATAGGTGTGCACCAACTCACCCAGCCACGTGGCTCATTTTTGCATGAAATACGTTCCATCACTTTATACCTTCTCCAACATAAAAAGTTCCACACATTTTTGGACCATAATTGGGAATCACCACGCATTAGTATTTGTTTTGGTCAAAGGCAGTGAGTAGGACTTGTTTTTGCTGAGCTAGGAACTGAACCCAAGCCATCTTGAGGGCTACCACTAAGCTATAACCCTGGCCTCACTGCATGGGTCTTACCAAGGAAATAAAAACAGAGCAAAACTACTCATCCAAACAATGCTAAAGTCCCTTCCCCATCAGTCTTTAGGGGTGGCCCCCAGCCAGTCCAGTTTTAAAAGCCTTTCAAATGACTCTCTGAAGGTTGACAGTCAGTGGTTCAGTGTTTTTCTATGTTTACTGAGGACTCAACTGTTGGTCACAAGAGCTGTGCCTTTGGAACAGCTTCAACAAGGACTGCAGTAAGTTCACAGCCTTCTAAGTGCAAATCTTTAGTTGTATTTTCTGACTTCAGATCCTCTCCAATTTGTCCATAATATCTTCCTTTTTTCTGAGACAAGGCCTCACTATGCAGTTCAGACTGGCCTTGAACTCACTATGTAGCCCAGGCTGGTCTCAAACTTGCAGTGGTCCTCCTGCCTCAGCCTCCCAAGTGCTGGGATTATAGGCATGCACCACCATGTCGGGCCGTATCTTCCTAATCAAGCTTTTACCTCCCCTCCTACAAAAACTGCTGTCTTATAACACTAAACCAGTGGCCAAATCTTGGTTCTCAAATGATTAGTTTTTGACACTTTGTATCCTCAGAGACTTTCTCCAGCGGACTTCTGGGCCAGCACAGTTCAGCAGAACTTTAGTGATGTTGGCAATGTTCTTCACAGGAATGGCTAGGGCCCTTGAAATGTGGCCACTGTGACTGAAATGAAACGAACGGAAAATTTTAGTGAGTAGCCCCATGTGCTAAGTAGCTACTGTGAACCAAGCAGCCCAGATACAGATCTAGTCGTAATGTGCCTTCCTCACTGCTACTGCCTCAGTGCTGGCTCTGCCTTGCTTAACCTCTAATGCCCCAGTTACCTTTTCTATACTTAGTTCTTTGGTCATCTTATCCAAGATTTCTCTCCCGAACCCCAGACTTGAACATCCAACTGCACTGTTTACTGAAAGTTCTTACCAGGCACATGGAATTTAATCTGTCCAGAACCGAGCTGTCAGTGTCCACCCACAAAAATCTGCTCCTCAAGTCCCCTCTGTCATCAACTCAGTGGCTGGAGGGATTTTAAAAGAAATATTGTCCTCAGAAATTCTGTATTTCCCTTCTCATAATAAAAACTGGATTCCTTAACATGGCAAAAAACTAGGTGCCTCGGCCAGCCTCAAATCTTTAATTCACTTTCTACTACTTCCACCCCACTCCAGCCACACTCATCTTGATGATTCTTGAACTGACCAGAAAGCCCTGACTCAGCACCTCTGTGCACCACCTGTCTTCAGCGTGGTTGCTCTGGCCTGTCCTGCTCCACTACTTTCTTCAAACCTTTGCTCAAATGTCACCTTCCTGGGGCACTGATTATCCTATTTAAAATTCAGTATCCTTTGTTTACTGCTAAAGTCCCTGTGCCTAGAACAGTGCCTTGCACATACTGGAAATTTAATATTTATTTATTGAACACATGGTTCTCTTGCTGGACTGCAAAATAATTGAGTTCACTCTACTGAGAATAAAGGTTAAAAGTTAACACTTACTAGTAAGTGCATAGCATAATCTGTCACATGTTTAGTTATTAAGAGTTTTCAGGTTTCAGCATGTAGTGATATATTCTCTTCAAAGTCAACAATTAAAATTGTCTCTAGGCCTTGTGTTAGTAGTTGTCTTGGGATTTTCTTTACTGATGCAGAGAAAAGTCTACACACTCACAGAAGGTTTGAAGTGGTGGTTGGAGCCCTTAAGAAATTCTTGTTAAAACTGTGAACATTACTCAGGTGCTCACCTGGGGTCAGGGATATAGCTCAGTGGCAGAGCTTGCCTGGCAAGCGTGAAGTCCTGAGTTTGATTCCTGGTGTACACCCCGAAACACACACAAAGATATACTCAGGCAATATCTGGGACTCATAAAACATTCAGACTACTTCTATCCCCACCAGAATTTTTGGCATCACAGTAAATTTCTATTTAAAACTATACTCCAGGAATCTACTGGTATCTCAGTGTGAGCTGCTACCTTTTAAAATATTTAAATAGAAGTTTATTTCTGGCATTCACTGTTTCCTGGGCCATGTCTTTAAATAGAGCAATTCTGAGCCCAAAAGTCACCTAAGAACTGGAATAGTTAGTACAACACTGTGTGAAATTCATTTTATACTTTGGAGATAATGCACTTGTTACAGTGGATTTTTTTAAAGGTTATAGCTAGACATACTGGTTTTACCCTCTTCCCTTATTTTACCCTTTGTATTTAGTCTACTCTCCTAAACTCTCTGGAAGTTGCACTCTATGTCCTCTTCTGACAAAGCAGTTTGATGGGAAATTTGGATTTCTTGTTCGTTTTTAAAGTCTTGATTTTTTTTTTTTGGCCTGGAATTACTTACATAAGTATGTTAAAAAAAAAAAAAAAGTATGTTAAACTGGTAATATGGCTGATCTGCCCCTATAAATTTTTTTTTTATCCCTATTAAATTTAAGGTCTGACTTTTTTTGTCCTTTTGAGACAGGGTCTCGATATGCAGTTCAGGCTGGCTTTGAGTTCACTTTGTAACCGAGGCTAATCTCAAACTCCCTATGATCCTCCTACCCCAGCCTCTTGAGTGGTGGGATTACAGGTGTGTGCCACCACGCCCAGCTAGAAAAAAAATTTTTAAAGCACAAAGAACAAAAGGGTGTACAGTGAAAAGCCTCCTTTTCTTCTTTGATTGCTACCAGGCTGAGGCAGAATGATCTCAAGTTAAGAGCCCAGCATGGACAACTTAGTACTATCCTGTTTCAAAATAAAGGGCTAGGGATGCAGCTTATTGCAAAGGCCACATTAAAAAATAAAAACGAAAACAAAACAAAAAATCCTGACATCTTACACAGACTGAATAATTCCGCTGACAAATACCTGTATCTTTTGTAGGATAAATATAAAAACTAGATAAAAGTACTACATAACCAGGGCTGGGGATTTAGCTCAGCGGCAAAAGCGCCTGCCTAGCAAGCGCAAGGTCGTGGGTTCGGTTCCCGGTACCGGAGAAAAACCAAAAAAAAAAAAAAGTACTACATAACCAAGAGCCACAGATATCTCCAACTTGTTTTCTCATTTGAAAGATATCACACACTTTATTTCTTCTAAAAACACAGGTCTCTTAGGCAGAAGTATCACAGCTGGAGGCCAACATGGGTAACTTAGCAAGACTCTTTTTTTTTTTTTTTTCTTTTTCTTTTTAAGACAGGGTCTCGCTATGCAGTTCAGGCTGGCCTTAAGCTCACTTTGTATCCCAGGCTGGTCTCGAACTTGCAACTATCCTACTGCCTCAGCCTCCCCGAGTGCTGGGATTACAAGCATTCGCCACCACGCCCGGCCAAAGACTCTATCTCTAAAAAGAATTGGGATGTAGCTCGGTGGGAAAGCATTTGCCTAGGCATTCAATCTCTAGACATGCATGAGGGTCTGAGGTCTGAGTTCAATCCCTAGTGCAATGTTCAAATAAAAAACAAACAAAAGAAACTAAAAAGGATTCCTGAAGTAAATATTAAAATCGAGATCTAGAGGATGATAAAAGCTAAGCAAAAAACACTTGGCCCAGGGGAAAGACCGATTTCCTCCCACATTCATCCATGTTTTTTCCCTCAAAGTAATTTTTTTTCTCTTTACAGGTGGTTAAAAAAATGCTTAAAAATCCTTATAGTATAGCTAAGGAATCTCAGTCTGTTAGAAAAGTGTGAAAGTCATTGGCCATAGAATTCTATTATTTAAATTAAGTACTGCTGAAGCACTTACTTTTCTGAAAGACATCTCTCTTACAAAAATTCCATGTTTCACATATAAGATTATTTATCTTACTGTTAAACTGATTTTTAGGTAGAATTGTGGGGCTGGCTTTTCTGTAAAAAAGTAATGTTAGAGTTATTTCAAAGTATTAAATAACTTTGTCCTGCCTGTGGCTAAAGTTTGTACCATTAATACTCATTCTAATTCTAATCCCGTGAGCCATGTTTGACCTGAAAAATGTTTGAAAGCCTTGCCAAATTTTCTTTCTGCCTTGCCTAATTTTCTTATTTGCCTTTTAAAGAATACTAAAGTATTCTAAAGTATTTCAATGTTAAAACTAAGTAAAATATCAGTCCGATAATCCAGAACCTCAAAACACTGGACTACCCTGCCTAGCAAGCACAGGGTCATGAGTCTGATTCCTGTTACCAAAAAAAAAAAAAAAAACCCCACTGGATTGCAAGCAAAAATACTATCTTGAAATTTCTTTATAAACACATTTGCTACACAAAGGTAACAAAATGTTCAGGAGCAAAGTTCAACTATCAATTTATATACTATTTTACCGATAGTAAGTTAAAATAGTGAGGTTTCCCTTTAAAGGTTGTATGAAGAGAGTAGGAGTATAATAAATAACAGTTGTATGTAAGAATCATAATAGGCAGACACTTGTGCCACTGAGCTATATCCCTGGCCCAAGAATCATAATAAACTAAACAAGGTGATTTCTGACCATTTGTAGATGGTCAGCCTTTTTCTAGTTGGCACTGTTTTGATCACATATGAGGATTCAGTGGAAGGCTGATGTTCCAAGTAAAACATTATTTTAAGGATATGAAAAGTATGTAAATTGAGCTTCCTTAAAAGCATGTTGTAAGCTATAGATTTCAGAATATGCAACTAGCGAAGTACAATACTATCACTTAAAGTATTTCGTAAAGAAAGTGATTGCAAAAGGTGATTAATAACCTAACACTTTATAGGCTTAAATGCCTAAAGGCTATACATGTAACCTACCTCTTCCAATGGTTATCTCAGTCATCTGAGTCAAGTAACTATTCAGAGACTCAATTTATCTCTGAAATATTCATGTAACTTGTAAGGTTACTTACAACTCTAAAATTCTATGAATATTTCTATTTCATTACATGCTACTTGGTTTCTTTGCATTTCAGCTCTATCAGTTAATATGGAAAGAAGTACAGCAAATAAATGTCACAGTCTCACTAAACACACACACACACACACACATTTTAGGAGCACGTTTTGAGGCTGGGCGTGGTGGTGCATGCCTGTAATGTCAGCACTCAGAGGAGGCTGAGGCAGGAGGATCATTGTGAGTTCCAGACCAGCCTGGGTTACAAAGTAAGCTCAAGGCCAGCCTGAACTGCATAGCAAGAACCTGTCTCAGAGAAAAAAAAAATAAAAAAATAAAGGAACATGTTTTGTTTTGGTTTTTGTAGTTCAGGCTGGTCTTGAACTCATTATGTAGCCCAGGCTGGCCTCAAACTAGCAATGCAGCCTCCTGTGTGCTGGGATTACAGTCAACAAGAATGATTAGGCTTATATTTGTACTTGTATTTATACCATTGTTGCACAAAAACATACCCCATTTGGCTGTCAGGGTACCAGATTAAATTAGAAAATTATTTCGCATTCATTAAGTGGAATCATCTCTGGATACTTACAAAATGAATGTAGATATGAACTCAGGGTTTTCTTGAATCTCTCTCAAAGTCTCTGCTTTCTCTTTAGTGCTTCTAGTCTCTTCCTTCTATTTTTAAGGAACTGACATTCTGAATTTTAATACCCAATTTTTGCCACTTGTTCACATCAGTTCTTTCAAATATTGCAGCCAATGATTCATGATATGTACCTTTTATTTTATTTTACTTTATTTTATTTTGGGTACCGGCAATCGAACTCACAACCTCACGCTTGCCAGGCAGGCACTGTGCCACTGAGCTATGTCCCTGGCCCCAATATGTACTTTTTATAACAGCAGCTAAAAGATGTAGAGTTTACACAATTGAATTCAGTGGTTAGAAAACAGTAATAAAAATTTAGTTGCCTTAGAGGATTTTATGTACTATATATTTTATACATTTCTATGTCTTGTGATTTCTTACTCAAGAAAACAGACTTTATTCCTAAATATTTATTGTATCTCTCTCTGCTTGAAACAGAAGAAAACTTTCTGACAAACTTGTCCCAGACAAACAAAATAAATGCTTTCCCAAATTAGAGCCCAAATCTTCAATATCAACGCGTGATAATTAGGACAAAGCAGCAGTCTTTTAAATTTCACAAAGACTAATCTAAGATGGTGTTTTTGGCCGTTTTGCAGATGGTCCATCTGAATTAGTTCTTTTATCAATGTTATTTTCATCTTCTGCATCATCTTCATCATTACCTTTTAAAATAAAGATTTGTTGTATAACATTATGTTCAGTGGTTGAGAATATAGATAATATAGATAAAATGGTTGAATAAGACCATTTCACTTTACGGATGAATAAAATCATACGTACTTTGTATTTAAAAGATTTCAGGAATTTCAGTATTTAAAACCTTTCTTCCCCACCACTTTCTTTCTTTGACATATAATTCACTGACCATAAAATGCACTTTTAAAAGCATATAGTTCAACAGTTTTCTGTATCTCTACTTGTTTCCTTGTGTAAAACCATCAAGGCTATTTCTGGCATGCTTCCATTACCCCCCAAATTATCTCCTTACCCATTAGCAGTCACTTTCCATTCCCTTCCGCCCTTGCAACTACTAGGCTACTTTCTACCTCTATGGATTTGCCTATTCTGGACATGTTATATAAATTTAATCTATAAATACATAGCCTTTCTTTTTGGTCTGATTTATCGTTTTCTTTTTTTTTCTTTTTTCTTTGTCTTTTTGAGACAGGGTCTCACTATGCAGTTCAGGCTGGCCTTGAGCTCACTTTGTAGCCTCCTGCCTCAGCCTCCCAAGTGCTAGGATTACAGGCGTGCACCACCACGCCCGGCCTGATTTATCGTTTTCAAGGTTCATTTCTATTGTCATTTGTATCAGTGCTTTCTTTTTTATTGCTAATATTCTATTGTATGGACACCCACAAGTTGCTTATGGATTAATCAAGTTAATATGTGTATTTCTGCTTTTTAGCTCTTAAGAATAATAATGTTCTTATCATAATTTTATGTTAAGTTTTTGAGGAATTGCCAAGGCGTTTTAAGTGGATATACCATTTTACATTTCCACCAACAATGTGCAAGGTCTCCAATTTCTTCACATGCTGTTTTGAATTTTTTTTTGTTTTGTTTTGACCTCACATACTAGCCAACACTTGTTATTGCTGTTTTTATTACAACCAACACCCACATTATCAAGACGGAAACAACAAAAGATGGAAACTATATGAAAAGTAAAATAGTTTAAGTTCATCTACAGAACAGCAAGTACTGACTACCACTGATCTAGTTGTTAGGTTTTTATTTTAACTCAAGGCAGTCAAAAAATACACCTTTGTGGCTTCAAAACAAGATTTTTTTCCCCCTCTTTTTGAGGCAGGGTCTCGCTATGCAGTTCAGGCTGGCCTTGAGCTCACTTGGTAGCCCAGGCTGGTCTGGACCTCACAAGGATCCTCCTGCCTCAGCCTCGCGAGTGCTGGGATTACAGGCGTGCGCCACCACGCCGAGCCAAAAGAAGATTTTAAAATATTAATGGAGTCAGAATTTCACGGTTCTACTTCAAAACTGCAGCTACAAAACTGAGACATGGAAAAGGGGTCCCTGGGCGTTAAGACTCGTAAAAACGAACTGTCTCCAAGCTGTCTGCAAATCTTTCAAACAGGTTTATAACTCCATACACGGTAAAAATCCTTTTCCTCTTTCAACACCCAGATCAAAAGTCATGTTCTCTCTAGAGAAGCCTTTCTGGGTTTTTCTGTCCTGTGAAAGTTACAAAGGGCCACAGAATCACTTTTTCACTCTTTAATAGCGTGTCTGCCCGCCTCACCCCTTGCGTTCAGTAAGGGCAGGAAGAGTCGCCTTCACTGCATTCTTTCTCCAGACCTCAGCCCAATAGCAGGCAGAACAACAACAACAAAAATATATATATATATGTGGTGAAAGCACTGGGTAAAAACAACTACCATAGTATGGCGTTAAGTACGTTTTTAGATGCGGTTCCTCCCCTCGAGGCGCACTTTGCACACAACGCCACACAGCCGCCCCGCCCTCCGCTCGCTCCAGCACCTCCTCAGAGCTCACCCTCCGGCGTCTCGTCAGGATCCGCAGTCGCCCGGTCCTTCGCTTCCTGCTGTACCAAGGGTTCGAAGAACTGGTTTACCAGCTCCTTCATCTGGGCCACACCCGACAACAGCTTCTGGAGAGGGTCGGCGTCACCAGACGCTTCACAGGGCACTCGCAGCTGCCGCCGCTGCCCGTCCGGGCCGACGTACTCGCCTACCAGCTCCATAGCGACCGCTTAGCTTCAAGCGCGCGCCACAAGGAAGCCTTACCCGGAAGCGGAAACCAGTTCGCCGGTGGGGTAGGCGGGAGAAAGAAGAGGAATGACTTCCGGTTGCCGGAAGTCGCTCCTCTCCCTTCCTTCGTTTTCCCTCTTTACGATTGGTTCCCGGCACTCAGGCCCCGCCTCCTTTGCCACGCCCCTCACGGTTGCTTTTCCCGCCTCCGCCAGGGTAGAACTGCGGTCCTGGTGACAGTTGAGGATGGCTGGGGCCGAGGGCCATGCTGGCCGGCAGTCGGAGCTGGAGCCCGTGGTGTCGTTGGTCGACGTACTTGAGGAGGATGAAGAGTTGGAGAATGAGGCGTGCGCAGTCCTGGGCGGCAGCGACTCGGAGAAGTGCTCCTACTCGCAGGTGGGCGCGCGGCCCGGGCCTCGTCAGCCCCGAGCTCCCCCTGGACCTCCCGAGCCTTCCCGGCCGCCCTCTGCTATGCCCGCCCGCCGCCGTGGCCTCCCCCGTGGCGGTCCCGGTCCGCCGTTGGCTTGCGCTCGCACCGCTTGCCCGGCTGCCTTTTCCTCCTCGGACGTCCGGGCCCGTTCCCTCCGCTGTGTCCAGCAGGGGCCTCCCTTCTCCTGTCTTCGACGCCTGGGACCCTCCAGGCTTGGGCCCTGGGGCTGCTGGTCTGGCTTTCCTCTCCAGTCTCTTCTTGGGGGCCCGAATGCTTTTCACGAAACCGTGCGCGTGACCTCGAACCCAGACGCCTTTGTCCCTGCTGTCCCATCCTGAGAGTGTTTATTTATGAGGGGCCAAACGGGAGGTCAGGGTAGAGATGAAAAGCTTTGGATTTGAAAACCTCCGTGTGCAGGGGGCTTCTCCGTGGCTCTGCAGTACAGGTTCAGTGCTCACTAGTACTTTTTTTTTTGAGAAACGAAGCACGTACCTTGTTTGTAGTCCGACTGCTCTGCCCCCAGAAAGAGGCTGAGACCAGAACAGCAAGTGACCCTAACCAAAAAGGAGAGAAGGATTTGTTTGGCATTTGGAATACCTCGTGAATAAGGGTTTGAGGGGGTGTGATGTAGTGTTTTATGACTCAGCCCATTTTTCAGGACACAAAAGTGGAGAAGGGTGTGTAGGAAGAGAACAGGTTAAAAGTTGGTAGAAGGAAGATTACCTCGGGCAGGGCTCAAGTAGGACATTGAAGTATGAGGGGAGGGACTCGAATTCAGTCGTAATTTGTTTTTGTTTTGTGGTACTGGGGTTTGAACCCAAAGCTTCATGCGTGCTAGGCAAGTGCTCTACTGAGCTACATCCCCCTACCCCTGATGTCAGAATTTGACCTGTTGTCATCACTGACCAAGTTGAGTTTACACTGCAAAGTGGTTAGATTGTTGAGTAAATCTGTCTCAGTGACAGTCCCAGATGTTGGCTAGTATTGAGAATCTTTGGTTACTACTAAAACAACTTTTTTTCTGGTTAAAAAAAAAGAGGTCTTAAAACTGTTTTTGAAAGTCTTTATCAAATGGACTTCCTTAAATTTTTCTTACTATAGTAAAACAAAGATTTACATACGTCAGATATATAGGTTGAAAACAAAGTAAACACATGCATGTACCCACCACCCAGATTAAGAAACAGAATATTACCAAAGCCTGCCTTTCTAGAGGAGGATAGCCCTTATCAAGATTTGTAAAAATCGTGCCTGGTTTTTCTTCAACTTTTTTGTTTGTGTTTTTTTTGAGACAGGGTCTTGCTGTGTGGTTCAGACTGGCCTTGAACTCGCTTTGTAGTCCAGGCTGGCCTCCAACTCACAGTGATCCTCCTACCTCAGCCTCCCAAGTACTGGGATTACAGGCATGTACCATCAACTTTTTATTTTGTTTTTGTTTGTTTGTTTGTTTTTTGTCATTTTGAGACAGGGTCTTGCTATGCAGTTCAGGTTGGCCTTGAGCTCACTTTGTAGCTCTGGCTGGTCTCAAACTTGCAACAATCCTGCCTCAGCCTCCCTAGTGCTGAGATTACATGTGTGTGCCACACGCCCAGCCAACTTTTTATTTTGAAACACTTTACATCTACAGTTAAATTGAAAAATAGTGTTATGAGCACCTGTATACCTCTTAATATGTATTCACTTTTTAATATTTTGTCACATTTGTTCTATATCTCCTTTATATAACACATTTTGCTTTTTTTTTGAACTGCTTAAAGGTTGCAGACATCATGACACTACACTTCTAAATACTTTAGCATCTAGCTCCTAAAAATCGAAGGGAGTCTGCAGTCATACCACCCTGAACGCGCCTGATCTCATCTAAAAATCAAAGGGATTCTTCTCACGCTTTGATTTTTTTTTCCTTTGGTGCCGTTATAAGCATTTTCCAAAATTAAAATGTAGTATTACTAACATTAACCTATACACATTGATCTACATTTTCATGTGTTAAAATGAGTAAGCAGACCAACTCAATCATAGGTGATTCACAAATTGAAATTTCCTATCACTTTAAGAAAAAACTGTATGAAAATAAACATATGCAACAGTGTTTTGGTACTCTTCTATAAACATTTTAAATACCATTTTTACGAGAAGATCTTGATCACAGGTAATCTGATTTTATTTATTTCTCAAATCTTAGTGTTGGTATTGGGTAACTGTACTATTTCATTAACTTATTCTCTTCTGTTTGGGGGCTGTCTTTCAGGGCACAGTAAAAAGACAAGCGCTGTATGCCTGTAGTACCTGCACTCCAGAGGGAGAAGAACCAGCAGGAATTTGTCTGGCCTGCAGTTATGAATGTCATGGAAGCCATAAATTATTTGAGCTGTATACGAAAAGGTATCGAGATAGTTGCTATATGTTTTCTGAATGTTTAGCTTCTTTTCCAGCTACAGTGTTTTCTTTATCTTTTTTTTCTTTCAAAGTACTTATGCACTGCTGGGATATAATATAATCAGAAAGGTTTTTCCATAAGACCTTTTACAATATAATTACGGTACAAACTCAAACTACTCATCCCTTTATTTGTGTGTGCAAGAGTGACATATACATTTGTCTTTTAAGACAGTCTTGCTCTTGCTGTTTTGCCAAGGTTGGCCCTGAACTCCTAGGCTAAAGCAGTTTTTGCCTCAGCCTCCCTAGTAGCTGAGACTACAGGATAGCACCATTGATGCATATTTATTTTGCATATTAATTTCTAGAATTATGAAATATTTTACAGTTACATGCTTGGGGAAATTCCAAATCAGATACATGAACAGCAATCAAAGCCATTTTTTAGATTTTAGAAATGAGTCAGAAAGGAAGAGGATATGATTTGAGTTTAAAGAGTACTTCATTAGATTAAAAAAAATAAAGTGGTTCTTCCTCTTTTTTTCAGAAATTTTCATTGTGACTGTGGAAACAGCAAGTTTAAAAATTTGGAATGCAAATTATTTCCTGTAAGTAAACATCATAACTACAAATTCACTTAAAGGAACAGAGGTTGATATTTGTACCAGAGTAGGTGAAAACCAACTATTTTCTAAAAAGGAAATGCTTTTGCTTATTCTTTGAAGATGGGCATTTCATTTCTTTCTTTGTTGGAAAATCTGTTCAGAGCCTCTGATATAGATTGTAATTAATATGAAAGGTTTTATGGGGAAAACTTTAAAGTAATTCATAGAATTATGAATTATTATTTATTTATATTGGTTATGCCTATGTTCTGAGGCTTTTAAAGCAAAGGTTGTGAGTTTTAAAACTGTATAAATAAAACTTGGTAATAATGAGGACTAGGTGCAGACTGGACTTTTCACTGTGGCTAAGAAAAACTATGGCTATGTGGTAACTTTTTGTGAAATAGTGGTTAAGAGAGAAAGTAAGGATTGCCATATTTTCAGTCATAATTGCTAGAACTATCATCTCTTCCCCCTTTGAAAGTTGATTTTAGACAATTTCTTTGCATGCTTTCTGCCTGTTCATTACATGAGAGTCTTGGTTACCACAGCCATGCACAAACAAGCGTTGTACTTTGACATTCCAGGCCACTGTCAGTTCACATAAGTTAGTAACTAGTATTTATGATTAACTTCTATCTCAAAGAAGATAAAGAAAATTTTATTTTTTCCTTGTACCTTGGAAAAAGTATCTAATTGGAGTGAATTTTTTTCTGTAGATTTTGAAAGTTTAAGATTAGCTTCTAGGGGAAAAAAAAGATTAGCTTGTGATATTTAATGCACAAATTTATTGAATTATAAGTCTTACGATGCATGAAATTATAGTTAAAATTAGACTACATTATATACTGAAATTTGTCTTCCAGGACAAAGCAAAGGTAAACTCTGGTAATAAGTATAATGACAACTTTTTTGGATTGTACTGCATTTGCAAGAGACCTTATCCTGATCCTGAAGATGAGGTAAGAGAACTGGAAGATGAAACCTGGGACTGTCATCTCTAGCCTTGACTTTATAGCCTGTCATATCTGAGTGTCTGGAGCACTATAGGAGGCATTTCAGAATGCTCGGGGGTTCCAGATTTACCCCTTCTTACAAATTTGGTTGGATGTATCAGTGGTACAGATCTCAATTATTCTCATTCTTGCATCATAAGAATGAAATATTCCGAGACTCCGAAGGCCAGAACTTATTCTCTTTCTGTTTTTCCTGCTTCCTGCCCCCCCATCACTTTATAAGAAATGACCTTCAAAAAGAAATGACCTTTCTCTTCTCTCCTCCCTGAAAGGAAGGACTTCTATGCAAAGTAGATCCTCTTAAAAATTTAAAATGTACTCAAAATTTTAAGTTTTTCCTTACTCCTGTGCTTTTTAACCTATCAACCACATTCACTATTAACACTTTTTAGTTTTGTTTTCAGGCCTTTCTATGTATACCTAAAAATACTTGAATGTGTTTCTTCTAATAAAAGTGAAAATCCTGTACGTTTACTTCCTTTTTTTTTTTTTCGGTCTTTTGAGACAGGGTCTCGCTATGCAGTTCAGGCTGGTCTTGAGCTCACTTTGTAGCCCAGGCTATCTCGAACCCGCGACGATCCTCCTGCCTCAGCCTCCCGGAGTGCTGGGATTATACACGTGCAGCACCATGCCCAGCACTGTACATTTACTTCTGCAGCTGGCTTTTCTCACTTATCAGTATATCATAGACATCCTTCCATGTTGAGTAATACAGGTCTACCCTGTTCTAATTGCAGCATCGTATCCCATAATTTGACATGAGACTAAGCCATAACTAAGTTATCCTAACTGTTCCTCTGTGGTAATGTCATCTAATGTTTTACTATTATAAGAAGACTGCAGAGGCCATCCTGTACTCTTACATAGCTTTAGCGTACTCCTGTGAATATGTAGAATGGATATCTAGAGATAGAGTTGATTGGTCAGCGGGTATTTGTGTTTAAAATTGTGATCATGTCTACCAAAAGAATTAACCACCTAAGTGTATGATAGTGTTTTTCTTCCCAGCACTCTTCCCAACACTACATATTACTAGTCCTTTAAAACTCTGCCATTCTAACAAGTGAAGGCTAGTATCTTCTTAAATTTTTTTTTTTTTTCCTGATCAGCACTGAAGTTATTCATGTTTTTCTTGAGCTTATTGGACATTTATAATAACCTCTGAATTGTCTTTTCATATCCCCAGCCCATGTTTTGATTGGATTGGATTTTATTTTACATACGTACTTTTTGTACTTAGTAAATGAGCTCTCTGCTCCCCTTTCTTGCTTTTTAATTGGGTTGGAATTGTAATTATTGAACCGAATTATATGGAGAACAAAATTGAAAATGTTTGAGTTAACAAAAATAAAGTTTAAAACTGGATATGTGAAGGTATGGGATAAAGTGTTACTTACAACACTGTTGAATAAACACCAAGAAAAAAAAAGATGAATAAATTGGTGGGCAGAAAGAAGAGACTTAAAATTGCTTTGTATTGTGTGTATGTGTGTTTGCTTTGTTTTCTTAAACTATCATACTAACAGGACAGAGCAACACATTAGGAAGCTTATTAGTAGATATGAAAGCCTGGGAATAAAAAGAAAAGCATCCCCAAAAGAGTTTATGTCCTTGATACACAATTTTTCTGGTTAGACATTTTATTATTTAATTTGTTCAAATAGAGAAGTCTATATTATCAGGAGATTGTTGGTAACATTTACTTTTCAATTTTACTTGATAGAATGTTGTGATAAAAAGTCCCAGCTGTCACATTCTATGTTGGTCGACTCACATTTCTTCCTTGGGTTTAGGTTTATGTATAAAATGGGAAAGCCTTACTAGTCTATAAATTTTTAAGAGCTGTTAAGTGACTGATAGAAAGGAGCTTTGATTACTGTGTACTAAGTGCTTATCCCATTGTAAGCCCTTAATATCAGTGCATGCAGAATGAATTTATTTGTCCCCTTAACTACTACTATGTAAGTAGAGTTATCATGAAGTTGGCACAGAATTTTCTTTCATTTTACATTCTGGGGACTAAACCCTGTACTTCACAGATGCTCTGGAAGCCTCCTATTACTGAACTACACCCTCAGCCTCAAGAATTATTTAATATCTAATTCTGCGTGTGCCTAATTTACTTCTGGGTCCCAAACTCAGCGTCATTATTAACAAACAACTGTTTCTCTGTTAGATTCCAGATGAGATGATCCAGTGTGTAGTCTGTGAAGACTGGTTCCATGGAAGAGTAAGGAAAACTTCTACCTTTTAAAACTGTTGTATCCACAAAAAGATGATCTTTTCCTTTTGAATTGTTTAATTTCACATTATAATTACTCTTCTTACCAAAAAAAAACCCCCAAAAAAAAACTAGAGAGGGGAAGAGGATAAGAAAAGAATTAAGATATGTTACATACATGTACCAACTCCACATGATGAATATAATTATTTATACCTCAAAAAACTACAACTTTATAATCAGGATACTGTTGTATTTGTTTATAAAACAATGGGCATTGTGGGCATTTTTTATAATTCCATTTGAAATTGATTTTAGTAAAACTACATAATTTATTTGAAGTTCTAGAAAAAGCACAACTCATTTATGACAGCTGATGGGCGGTTGAGGAGATTGACTGCCAAGGGGCAGGAGGGAGCTCCTCGGAAAGATGGAAATGTTATGTATCTTGGTGGTTGGTGGTAACATGGGTGTGTGCATTTGTTAAAGCTCGGAGTTGGAAATGTTCACATCCTGTGACCTAGCCAGCTCACTGGCAGATGTAGTGCCGTGTGCATCAAACTGCTGGCAGAGAGTTACTTCTAGTGAAGAATCAAATCTGTGCAGTATGCCGTATCGGGAGTATTCATCTTGAAAGTAATGAAGCTGTTCCTTTAGGTCCCTTCATTTATCAAGGCCTGGATACTGATTAACAGTGGGCACTTTAGACAGCTTACAGATCACAAGGGAAAAAAACCTTCTTTTTTTCTGTTTTAAATTTACAGCATCTTGGTGCCATTCCCCCTGAGAGTGGGGACTTCCAAGAAATGGTGTGCCAGGCCTGTATGAAACGTTGTTCTTTTTTGTGGGCTTATGCTGCAAAATTGGCAGGTAGGTGTCTTTGTGAAGTCGGTATGACACAAACTTGTCTTGTAAAATTTGTATTTTCAGTCCACAATTTTTAGCAACTATTTTGGACCTGAGATACACAAAATAATGTTTATAGATTGTTCAGAAGACTACTTGGGACAGATTTGAACTTAAATGGTATGCTGCAGAGTATGGGTGAGACTAGAGTTAGAGAAAATGAAAGAGATGGGTTTGGCTTGGTTTTGTTGCCGTACTGAGGATACGACCAAGGGCCTCTTACTGAGTTATACCCATAGCGCTTTTTATTTTGAGACAGTGTCTCACTAAGTTGACCAGGTTGGCCTCAAACTTTCAATCCTCCTGCCTCAGCCTCTGAAGTTGCTGAGATTACAAGTGCGTAACACCATACCCAGTGGAGGAAGCAGTTTTTGAGTGGGAGTTTGAAAGATAAATAGAACTAAAATAAATTGTGGTTAAATGAAAGATTGGTTGGGAGGTGGTGGCATCTTACTCTGTTTGGAGTGGTTTTTTTTTTGTCTTTTTGAGACAGGGTCTCGCTATGCAGTTCAGGCTGAACTTGAGCTCACTTTGTAGCCCAGGCTGGCCTCGAACTCGCAACGATCCTCCTGCCTCAGCTTCCTGAGTACTGGGATTACAGGCGTGCGCCACCACGCCCGGCTGTTTGGAGTGTTATAACAAGATATTTTTACAGATTAACTTATCAGCAGTAGACATTTACTGTTCTCCGTTCCAGAAGCTGACAAGTCAAGAATAGGGTCAAAAGATTCAGTGTTTGGTAAGGACCCATCCCTCATAAATGGAGTCCTTCTGTATGTCCTTACTTGGTGGAAAAGGCACTTCAGCTCCCTTGGGCTGAAGGATATTAATTCTGTACACGAGGCCCTCAGGACCTAGTCACCTTCTAAAGGCCCCACCTCTTAGTGTTGCCTTAGAGATGAGGTTTAACATAGGGATGTAGGGGGTTGTGAACACTGCAGGGTGTGCGGGCACACACCTGTGATGCGGTACTGGCAGGCCGAGGCCAGAAAGAATGCAAGTTTAAGGCTAGTCTGGGCTAATTAGCTACTTTACAATTCCCTGTCTTAAAACAAAAATAAATGAATAAAGGAAGGAAGAAAAGGGAAGGAAAAGGCTGGAAATGGGCCTCATTGCGAAGGCCCTGACTTCAATTCCCAGTACTAAAAAAAAATTCAGACCAAAGCAGATGGCAGATGGTGATCAGTTTGTCATCTAGTACTGTACTTTTATCATGCATTAAGAAATTGACTCAAAACAAGTCATCAACAATGAATGGTCTCGAGGCATTAAATATCTTACTGGTAATGCCAAATGTGTTACTTTCTTTATTTTTGTGTAGCTGTCTTTTCAGTAGTAGGGGTCAAAGCCAGGGTAGGATAGGCAAATGATTTACCACTGAGTCATATCCCCAGTTCATAATTTATGTTTAAGGTAGCAGTTACTCATAATCTTTGTTGCTCTGGACTCTTAATTTTTTGTTCTTCTTACCTTCAGAGATATTTCACCATGCAAACCACAGATAGCATAGCTACACGTAAGATCTCATCCTATACTTTTTTCTTTCTTTTCATGATATTGAGGATTGTACTAGTGCCTTCATGCTGAGCTATATCCCCAGACTTTTAAATTTTTTTTTATTTGGAGACAGGTCGAAGTTGCTAAGTTGCCCATGCTGCGCTCAAACTTGAGATCTTCCTGCCGTAACTCTCCAGAGTGCTAGGATTACAGGCATGCGTCACCACACCGATACTTTTCATCCTATACTTTTGATTTGCCTCAGTTTTCTTAAACTTGATACTTTTTCTTCTTACTTTTTTTATTTTAAAGATAAAAGAACAAAAACATCTTAACAAACACACCTACATTTAGAAAATAACACAAAAAGCAATACAGAATCTCAGAAAGGTGATAGGAAATGAACAGTGGTTGTTGTATTACATACTCTTCAATTTGGATACTCACATAAACGTAGACGTGTAAGATTGATCATACACTTAAACATTAAATGTTCCTTTCAATAGAACAATAAAAGTCAATAGTACCACTATGTTAGCTATCGTGTGTATACATATATATTTTCTTCCCCTTCTTTCTTTTCTCTTTTCCCTCATCCCAGTTTTTCTTCCCTTTTGAGCAGTTTCCTTCCCTTTTACAACATCTGTTGTACCTCCTAGATTTTATTTGCTCTTTCAGGTTCTTTTTTTTTTTTTTTTTTTTCTTGTCCTTTTGAGACAGGGTTTCGCTATGCAGTTCAGGCTGGCCTTGAGCTCACTTTGTAGCCAGGCTGGTCTCGAACTTGCAACGATCCTCCTGCCTCAGCCTTCCAAGTGCTAGGATTACAGGTGTGCGCCACCACGCCCAGCTCATTAGACACCCTTATATTCCTTTATGTATGTATGTATTTATTCATTTAGTGGGCCTTGCCTATGTTAGGCAAACACTTTACCACTGAACTACATCCCTAGCGCTCCTTTTGAAATTGCTTTATTTATTTTATTTTTATTTTGTTAGTGAGATAATACACCGTTTACACATGCAGGTCTCATTTATTTCACTTACAAGTATTGTCTCTAGTTGTGTCCATTTTCCTATAAAACCCTTGAGATTACTTTTCTTTATAGCTGAGTAATATTCCATTATGTAAAAATACCACAACTTTTTTATACATTCCTCAGTGGATGGGTATTTGAGTTGCTTTGACAATGAAGCTGTTACAGGATTGCGCTGTTAAAAACATGGGTGCACATATATTGCTGTGATACGTTTTCCTTTCTTCTGGGAAAATACACATAAGGGAAATAGCTGGATTGAATGGGACCTGTAGTCCTAGTTTGCTGAAGAATCTCCAAACCGATTTCCACAGTGGTTTCACCAGTCTGCACTCCCACCAGCAGTGGAGAAGGCTTCCTTTTTCTCCATAACCTCGCCAGCATTTGTTATTGGTTGATTTCTTAATGGTAGCCATTCTTACTGGGGTGAGATGGAATCTCAGTGTTGTTTTAATTTGCATTTCATGAATGACTATTGATGTTGAACATTTTCTCATGTATTTATTTGCTATCTGTATTTCTTTATCTGAGAAGTGTGTGTTCCTCTCAGATGCCCATTTTTGTATTGGTTCTTTGAATCTCACAAACAAAAGCCAAACTACATGGGAAATACTTAAAAGAATCAATAACTGGGATCTCATCTTACTGAAAAGTTTTTGCACATCTAAAGAAATCACCAGCAGAGTAAAAAGAAAACGCACAAATTTGGAAAAAAATTCTAGCTGACTGTTCTTCAGACAAAGGACTCCTATCTAGAACATACGAAGATTTAAAAAACATCAGCCCCTCCAAATTCAAAGACCCAATCCAAAAATGGGCATCTGAGGTGAATACACGTCTCAGATAAATAAATACAAATGGCAAATAAATACATGAGAAAATGTTCAACATCATTAGTCATTCGACTGTCTCTTGGACAAAGAACTTCTACCTTTTTCTTTTTATATCCTTCCCAGTTACACCTGTTCTTTTTACAGATACTGTACCTGTGTGTCTTTCTTATTAATTAGGTTCCTTAGTTAATCTTCCCCTTCTTTCATTTCCTTGCCTATCAGCAGATGGCTTCATCTGCTATTAAAATGCCATCATCCAACCTGAGCTCCCTTACTGTTTCTCTTCTCTCCCTCATGGTATTTCTGTCTCGACACCCGTCCTTTGTGATTTCCTTTTCCCAGGAGAAAAAGCTGGTGGTTTTTCAAAACTACCCTTCTACTTATGTTTGGAGTTGAATCTCTTCCTTCTACGTCTTGTTTCTTGAGTAGCCTATCTTTAATACAGAACATTCTTTTCTCCTGTACATAGAAAGTACTTAGTGATTGATATCTTTGAATGAATTGTTTCATTATTTGGATTAGGCATGTGTAAAGAATTATTGATAATTTTCTTTTTCATTATAGAGTATAGGGTTGCCTTTTTTCCAGATTGTGAAATATTTTAAATATTTTAAAATCAGAATAAGTGATTTCACTGTCTGATTGGTCTGTGTGTGTGTGTGTGTGTGTGTGTGTGTGTGTGTAGCTTCATTACTATTATTATTTCTTTTCATTGAATCCACAGTGACCAAAGTATCTGCTGATGATGATGGATTAGTGCTGAATGTTGATGGAATAGATGATCAGGAAGTTACCCAGACTGAAAATGGAGAACAAGATAATACCCTCGAAGAGGATATTCCAGAGCACGGGACGGATACTGACAAGGAAGTAAAAGCAGAGCAGAATAATGAACCATGTACCAGCTCTAGTTCTGAATCTGATCTCCAGGTAACATGAATTACAGCCATAAAAGAAATAAAACAGACAGTATTAATTCTGTATGTTCTACAGCTTTGGATTTGTATTGTATTCTTTGTCACAATAAATTCCTTTAGCTGTTCATCTGTAATCCCAGCAGTGTGGGAGGCTGAGACAGGAGAATCACGTGTTCATTCCCACTCTGGGCAGTTTAATGATTTAGAGCGATCCTGTCTCAAAAAAAAAGAATGGGGATGTAGCTCAGTGCAGACTCCTGGGTTCAATCCCAATATCGAAAGAGAAGAAATCCCTTACAGAGTCTAAACTATGAATAAGATGATAGCTTAACAAACACTTTAAAATTTAACTTTTATTTCAGACAGCATTTAAGAATCAAAGCTTCAACACGGAATCACAATCTGGCTGCAGACTTAAGGAGCTCAAAGCTAAGCATTTTGTGAAGAAAGACACAGCTACCTATTGGCCCTTGAACTGGCGTAGCAAGTTATGCACCTGCCAAGACTGTATGGTGAGTATGTGTTGGACATTTGCATATTTTGTATGTTGAAAAGTGTATTTATAGAATTGATGTAGGCATGTAGGGGATTTTTTGTCCTTTGAGACGGGGTCTCAGCTGTGTAATCCAGGCCAGCCTCGAACTCATGGCGATCCTCCTACCTCATTCTCCTGAATGCTGGGATAATAGGTGTGAATGCCGGCTTTTTCAGTTAAGCACATTTATTAAGTCATAGTTGTACCTGAATTCTGTATTTATTTATTTATTTATTTATTTATAATTTTTTTTTTTGATCTTTTTGAGACAGAGTCTTGCTATGCAGTTCAGGCTGGCCTTCATCTCACTTTGTAGCCCAGGCTGGTCTCGAACTCACAATGATCTTCCTGCCTCAGCCTCCCGAGTGCTGGAATTATAGGCATGCACCACCACACCCAGCTGTACCTGAATTCTTATAGAAAATATGAATTATATAGGACATTTTGTTCCCTTATCTTTTAGTGGAAAATAGCAATTCTTTTTCATATCATGAAGTTGCTTGGAAAAATAAAGCAACTTGAAGATTGCTTGAAAGTTGTAATAAGTCATTGTGAGCTCTTAGTTTTTTTCCCCCTGCCTTCCTCGCTTTTTTCTCCTCTTTCTTTCTGTAGACTGAGTCTCACCGTGTTCCCCAGGCTGGCCTGAGATACATGGTCCTCCTGCCTCAGCGTCCCAAGTAACTTTGATTGCAGGCATGGGGCACCATATATGGCTGAGTTAATGGTTTTTAAATAAAGAACTCATAGACCATACAGTATCCACTGAGAAGTTGGGAGATTTCTGAAAAAGGTCTGGGGGAAAAATAGAAATAGAAATCCTGCAAGCAACTCTATGCTAAGGTGCTCAACATTTTTCAGTGTTAATTTAATAATAAATAAATTCGTAGAAGCTCCCATGAAACTGACTTTCTGAAAATGATATGCAGTGCTAATGGGGAAACTGGTTTTATTTTTTAAAGAAAATGTATGGCGATCTGGATGTCCTGTTCCTGACAGATGAGTATGACACAGTTCTGGCTTATGAGAACAAAGGCAAGACTGACCAGGCGACTGAGAGGAGGGACCCTTTAATGGACACCCTTAACAGCATGAACAGAGTCCAGCAAGTGGAGCTCATTTGTGGTTAGTGCTGTTTGTGTGTGAAAATTCATCAAATTTATTTCACTCTGTAAAAAAAATGGTAAAAGAAGGGAATAAGCACCTATATTTCCAGTTTTAGGCAAAGGAAATTCAGATTTTGAATTGTGTACTCGGCTTCAACTGTTGCTTGATTTAAATGTTGCTGAGTGTTCAGCCGCTAGTACCCTGGACTAGCGTTTCATGCTGAAATAATTACATGTTTGAGAAACCACAGTTTGTACTATTTTGATTAAGGGTAGATGTATAAATACAGAATTATAGCACATTTTTCCATCCATAGAGATAATTTTCACTGAACATTATATGTCATCTTTTTGAGCAAAGCATGTCATCTTTTTGACAGTTCTGGAGCTTGGTTTAGTGGTTCACAGGAAACCACTGGCAGGAAAAATATCCCTAACCCCTTAATTGTAGGCTTTTACATTTCCCCCACCCCAGCATGGCCAACTTATTTCAGAGTTTCTATCCCAGCCATTTTCCACTTGGATCCCACCACCTTGTGTCCCTTTTATGGAGTTAATTATTTTTCTCTTTTATTTGTAATTTTTTGATGTATTCCTCTTACCCTTATTGGACTGAAAGTTTTTCTGATGATAGCATGTGCATTTTTGTAGCTCTCAAAGTGCCTCATGCATAGTGCAAACTGTTGAGTGAATGGATTTTAAAACTTAATGTTTGATGAGTCCAAGTTTATTTCAAGAACTAGAATTTCAGAGAAATAGAAAATCCTTTTTAAAAATTCTTAGCTGATCTTTATAGGAGTGAGGATATTTCTGGTTTTGAGTATTTTTTTTTTTTCCTTTGTTCTTTGTTTTAAGGGGAAGGAAGTTCAGAGTGTTTGTAAGACATTGGGAGCATTGGGCTGGGGATAGAGCTCAGTGGTACAAGCGCCTGCCTGGCAAGCGCAAGGTCCTAAGTTCAATTCCTGATACCAAAAAAAACATTGGGAGCATGTTTCTATGCAGGTTTCACTGAAGAAAAATTTGATTTAAAACTATTTAATGTATTCAGCTGCCAATGGCAAATAAATATGTTGTTTTCAAAAGCAAATGACTTACCAAAATCTCAAGTGCTGTTGTGGTTTTGATTTAGAATACAATGACTTGAAGACTGAACTTAAAGACTATCTGAAGAGATTTGCTGATGAAGGCACGGTATGTTGTTAAAGAATTTTAATCATAGCCTTTTACATTTTAATGAACTCTATTTTCTTTGATGATTAAAGAAGGACAGTGGAGGAGTTGGGAGTGTAAAGCACTTGCCTAGCAGGAGTGAGGTCTTGGGTTCCATCCCCAGCACCCAGGGGGAAAAATGAAAGACTAGGGTAAAAAAAATGGAGTACTTAAAAGTTTAAGGTGAAATCAGGCGTGGTGGTGCACACCTGTAATCCCAACACTTGGGAGGCTGAGGCAGGAGGATCGTTGCAAGTTCAAGGCCAGCCTGGGCTACAAAGTGAGCTGAAGGCCAGCCTGAACTGCATAGCAAGACCCTGTCTCAAAAAGACCAAAAAAAAAAAGTTTAAGGGTTCTTGGCAGGCTAAGAAGGGAAGTCTGTAAGGAGCAGTGAACCCCCAAGGACCTGTTAGGACTCCCTACCAACCCCTGCTAGTCAGAAGGAATGTGGATGAAGTAGTCAGGTATGGGGAGAGCAGCTGCCGCTGAAGAGAAGGCTAGGGACCCCTACTACGGATCCAGACTGTGCGTCCTGAGGATGCTGACTGTGCGTCCTGACTGTGTGTCCCAGCCACGAAGCAAGGATTCCTGGGGCGGGGTGGTAGAGGGTGACTTGCCAGGAAAAATTCAAACCAGACCCACTTTCTGGGATTCTATGTGTTGTGTTGTGGTTTTGTTTTTTTTTGTGTTTGTTTTTTTTTTTGTCTTTCTGAGACAGGGTCTCACTATGCAGTTCAGGCTGGCCTTGACCTCACTTTATAGCCCAGGCTGATCTCAAACTCAAACAATCCTCCTGCCTCAGCCTCCCCAGTACTGGGATTACAGGCGTGCGCCACCACACCCGGCTGGGATTCTAAATTCTACTGGGGACTAAAAAATTTCTAAGAAAATTTATAATTTTAAGCCAGACTCTAGAATGTCTCATGTTTAAAATAGGATTCCAGATAAATTTACAAGTACTTCTTAGTCTTTTACGTGTTTGTGACTTTCTCTCCTAAAATACCTGTCTTCCACAGGCAGATACAGAACAAAAATTAACCTTTCTCCTCATAGCCTAAGACTGTCCTTACAAACAGTTAAATTTTTGCTCTGCTATAGCCAGAATACAGATCCTTAGCTTTGGCTGCAGGGATAATGTTAAGTTCTAGATGTTCTCAGATAGTGGACTGACTGCATATTATTTAATGTTTGCATCTGACTGTACAAAGTAACGTTTAGAAACTATAAACTTGGAGACAAAGAAATGATATATTGTTGAACCCAAGCATTTATTCATTAGCATTTCTACACTGCACCTTGGCTGTGAGCATTTGAGGACTTCTAGGATCCACAGATTGCACACAGTACCTGGGCCTTTAGGTCTCTTGCCTCAGGGCCCATAACAGACGTTCCCTTCCGTGGCTTTCAGTGTTTAGTCTTGTAATCCAATGCAGGGACCTTCATTTTGAAACTCATAAGCATTATGTCTGTTAGCACTATAGATTCCTGAGCCTTTAACCTATTTACCTCAGGGTGTGTTGTTAGCTTTCTAGACCTGTATCATGGGGTGTGAGTTCCTTATCAGTTGGCCGGCACTTTTCTTCGTGGTACTTGTGAAGCTGGTGTATCAGCTACTGCTGTGTAGCAGAGTGCTGACAGAAATCTTTCATTTTGAGAATAACTCTTTTCTTTATTTATTTTGTTTTGAGACAGGATCTTGCTCTGCAGTTCAGGCTGGCCTTGAACTCACTATAGTAGCCTAGACCAGCCTTGAGCTGCCAGTGATTCTTCTGCCTTAGCCTCTTGGGTGCTGGGATTACAGGCTTGTGTGCCACCTTAAGAAAGGTGGTACAAGTCAGCTTTGCCGTTTGTTTGAGCCATTCAGTAGCTCTCACTGCCAGGGAAGGGAGGGGAGGTTTTCACTTTGTGTATGGGATTGGTTGAGCTCCTTGATTTCTTTATCCTTTTCCCTTCTACTCACCTGCATTCACAGCCTCTCCTTTTTTTCACTTTCCCCTCTCCTCCTTTCCTACCAATAAGCATCTGTTACTGTTGTAATTAAAAATAAATAAATTAACAAATTATCTTTTATCATGATTTCTAGAGTTTTCTATCTGATCAGCTGGTATCGACTCCCTCTTGGGGTGAACACAGATCCCTAGGTTGATCCCTAGTTTGCCTTTTTACTTCGTATTTTCCCTTCATTTTTTATTTTTAATATTATAGTTTGCTTATATCATCACTACCTTTGTATAATTCTCTAAATTCTTTTTCCCATAAACTAGAAGATAAATTTATTATTTTTATTGCCCAGAGTAGATTTACTAAAAGAAGTGCTTCTATAGATTTTTTTACCAATTATTTTTGTCTATATAGCAAACGTCTTTAATTTCAGATTCTTGAAGAAGTTAAAAGTGTGCAGGTCTTATTTTTTCTTTAAAATACAACAGTAGGGGCCGGAGATATAGCTCAGCGGCACAAGTGCCTACTTGGCAAGCACAAGGTCCTGAGTTTGATTCCCGTTACCAAAAAAAAAAAAAAAAATACAACAATATTCTCCACTGTCAGTGAAGAAGAAGACACAAGTGTCCAAGCAGTACTGTTTTCTGCAGGAGACTTGTAGCGCTGAAGGACATTCCTCAAAGACAGCTATGGCACTGCAAGTGCACAGAGGTCCCAGCAGACCTTCCCGGGCCTCGGACTGTGTGCTGACACTGCCACTCTTCCTTCGGATCATTGTGGGACTGTGTGATAGGCAGTGTTTTACAGGCCTCACAGCTCACCTCGTCTTCACATGGCCCTGTTAGATAGGTGCTACTTTTATCTCATTTCGTTTGGGTTGCTGAGGCAGGTGATGGAAGCTAAGCTTTGAACCATCTTGCTCCACAGCTTAGCGGTGTGACTCAGCATGCCAGTTCTGCGAGCCTGGATGATCTCTTCTGTAGAAATGGTGAATTAATTACACATTAAAGCAGAGGACCTTAGCATATCGTGGTTCAACTTAGGGTTTCTCTGATTTTGCCTTGGTTTGAAAGTGATACTTATTCGGCAGAACTACTTTGAATTGTGACTTTGGATCTCTTCCCAGGCTTGCAGTCCGTGGTTAGATGCTCTCTCTTGAAGTTGGGCAGTGGCCGCAGTAGCCAGCTGTAGTTCCCAGTTACCCTGGATCACACCACTACGGTGTGCTGTGTTCCTGAGCTCTGTATTTCATAGGTCATGTGTGCTCAATGAATTTTCAGTTTTGGGTGTTTTCAACTTACAGTGGGCTCATCTGGATACAACCCCATCATAAGTCCGTAAGTCAAGGAACACTTGTAATTTCTACCAGTAATGCTGTTTGACTTGTTTGTGAATGTTACAACCTTTTATCACTCTGTTACGTAGTTTTCTTTCCTGTTGTTTTTCATTAACAGGTTGTTAAGAGAGAGGACATTCAGCAGTTCTTTGAAGAATTTCAGTCAAAAAAGAGAAGAAGAATGGATGGGATGCAGTATTACTGCAGCTAGAGTGAAGTTCAGAGCTCCCTCATTGAGACCAGTGAAAATGCCACTTACTGTTCCAGGAATAAAAGGGGCATTTGTCACACTTGGTCCCCTTACCGTCCTCTGCGAGAGCCTCCTCCTGTCCCAGCCTCCCTCCTTCTCCCTCACTACAGTCGCCACCGTGCTTATGCTGATTTCACAGCCAGCGTCCTCTTTAACTCAGCTAAATGCAGCTCATTCCACAGACTTTAGCTCTCCAGCCCCAGGACACCCAGGGTTTTCTGCTTATAAGTTTCAAGAAGTTTGATTTAGTTTTGAGAAAGAAAATTGGTTTCTTTTGAAAGGATTTGTTCTTTAACTTCCGAATGTTTGTCTTTCGCCGCAGAGCTGTTGCCTTCCAGGGCCTCTGTAGGCGTTGCAGAAGGCTCACTTCCGTCAGCCTGAGCCTCTTTCTGTCCCCACCCCGTGATCGTGGTGCCTTGGGTCACAGCTTCCTCAGCCAGACCTGCCCTTCTCCTGCCTCCCTGCTGTCTGAGGTTTGGTCATGGCTTACAGGGGTCTGGGAAGTTGGAATATCGAAGACTGATTGATTGGTTTATGACCTAGAGGTCTGTTGCAGGCAGGGAGATTGATGATGGGGTTGAGGAAGCAAATCTTCGTTACGAGTTTTACTAGTAAAGTGAAATTTCCATTCACAATTCTACTGGCACACAAATATTAGAATTTTAGTACTGTAGTGCTCACAGGGCTTCCTGGGAAAAGTCTGCCAGTACACTAGCCCCTTTTTGCTGCCTACAAAATGACCGGGTATCACCCCTGTGAAATTCTGGTGGTTTACAAAGTCCTTTGGATTTCCTTATATTGTCAGGGATATTCATAAGCATATATTTAAAATGGACCTATTTTGATACTGTTCTGTTATGAAAGTATTGTTAGTATCCCAATAAGTTATTGTCTTTCCCCTTGAATCTGCTGCAAACACACAGTTCCCGACTTAGCTACTTGTAGTGAGCAGGGGCAGTGACTTCCCTGCTTTGGAAGAGACAGACTTCGTGGGAAATTCCAAACAAGGTCCCGGGCTGCACGAATGACGACTTTGTGTACATAAATATAATGTCCATAGCCACTTCTCGATGACTGAGATCTTCCGAAGATCCTCATGGAATGTTGTATAAAACCCTGTTTTTGAGGGGAAGTCCATTCAGTTGGTAGGAAATCTCTGTAAAGCCCTTCAGTCTGCCTAGAAAACACCCTTTGGTAAATATAGAGCCCTCCTTTCCTTCTGATGGAACCCAGACTTTCCTGACAACAGATGACACACTCTGAGGCATCTTAGCAAAAGCATTTTGGGTTTGGGGGCCACACGTTTCTATTTATATTCCTTTAGTGCCCGGCAGCAGTGGTGTGCACAAGTGCCCACTACTCTCTAGACAAGATGAATGAGAAGTCAAGGCCTCCGAGAAATGGTCCAGGTCCTGCTTGTTGGTATTGGCCTCCTAATTATGGGTGCTCCTGAAGACCGATGTGTGGGGCCAGAAGGTCTTCCGGTTGTGGGAGATGCTTGTGTGCCCCGAGCCAGCCTTGCAGAGAGGGCTCGGTTAAAAAGCTCAGGGTATCTGCAGACAAGTCTTCCGGAGGTCTGAGGATGTACCGAACCCCTCCCGCACAGTCGTGCTCTTGTGTAGCATCCCTTCTGAGTTTGTATCTTCCCTGATGTCTGACTTAACTCAAAGTTCCTCACTTCCTGGACAGTTCAGGACCAGATCTCTGGGGCAGCACAGCACTGTGCGGCACAATTGTACAACTCACCCCGTGCTGAAGGGCTTGTTTCCGAAAGTACTGCTCCTTTTACATTAACCAGAAAACCTCTTTTTTTACCTGTTGTTCACAACTAGTTTTCTTATTGACTATGTATAGGACCGTCTCTTCTTGCAGAGACTGATTTGGCCAACATGTGGCAGTTGATAATGCATGTTTTATGCAAAATTAAGGTATGGTATTAGTTGCTTTTAAGAAATTCTGGCATTGTATGTGCATTTTTGTAGAAATTGTTACTGGACTTATACTTACATACCTAACTCTAATCAGGTTTCTGTAAAATTTAAATAAAATCAATTTAATGCAGTTGCTTTCCTGAACATTCTTAGGCTCACGTCTACACTGCCCCCCTGTGCAGGTTACCGGAAAGTGACCCTTCCGCCCTTGCTCTGGCCATCTCCCGCTTCCTCTCTGCAGGGGACTGTCAGAGTGGTGCTCTCTGGCACCTTCCCACTCTCCGCCCCAATGCCCTTGACACGCCTGGGCGCCCCACCTCCTCCTCTCCTGCAGTGGCCCACAGCTCCTGCCATTCTCCCAGTGCCTCTGGCTTGGCAGCTTTAGGCCTCATGCTTCCTAGACCCAGCTGAGAAGTGGTTCCATTAGCCAAACTGAAAAGGTCTCCAGTCAGCCCATTTCCTCTCCTTTCCCTTTGTGGGTCAAAGTGCTGCTGAGGGTCTGCGCTTCTTCCTGCCCTCAGTGACCTCTTAATTATGGATAGAGATGGCCTGACACACTGATTGGCTAATATTCATATAGCTATTTCACTCTGGAATATACTGTATTTCGGCACATATCACTGGGAATGATATGTGAATTTATTTGCTTAATATCCATGCCTTCCCCATTAAACCACAAATGCATTGAGGTCAGGAACTCGCCTCCCTGCTTATTGCTGTCCAGCAGTGGCCAGTGGATAAACACACCACTGGGATGCGCGCTCACACACCAGCAGCTCACCGCGTCCCCGCCATGGCTGGGTGTTCGTGTGCACAACCTCACCTAATCCTCACAATGACCCTGGGGAGACACCTGTGCACCCCCCACTTTTCAGATGTGGAAACTGAGGCTCAGGTCGAGGTTGCCAAGCTAGTCAGTGTCAGAGGATACTCTTACCCCACTGACCTGGCCTCAAGGAAGTGGGCACCTGGGAGCAGCTGGGAAGATGCTGACAGCTTAGGTCATGGGGTGCCATAGTTGCCCTGGGGTGAGAGGGGCTTTGTCTCCTGGTTTGGTTTTAGTAACAGAATTGGAGTTGACCAGCACCTAACCCGCCGCTGAGGGGTGGGGGGCCTGGAATCAAGCCTTCCAAGTAGCTTGACTCCAGTGCAGCTTCACGTGTTTTGCTGCAAACAGAAGGTGCCCAGGGATGTGCCCATATTCGCCCACCAGGAGCATCACACAGCTCAGGGACAAAGGAGAGGTGTCAGTGAGGCAGCAGGGTGAGGTGCCACGCTGCAAAGGGCCCCTGCTGCCCTAAGGAATGGTGAGAGGAAGCTTTGGGTCTCTCAGGGGTCATCACACCTGGACTAACCAGAGACCCCCGAGAGGTTTGGGTGGTCTGTCAGAACATGGAGAAATGGAAAAAACATTGATTTAGCTTAGTCCAGAAGGTGGGAGACAGTCATGGTGCATCTGATGGAAGGTTCCAGAAAAGGGGGAAGTCGGTATAGCTGGGGGGTGGATGGCCGAGGGTTTGCGGGAGGAATGGAAAGTCTGCCAGGTCCCGGAGCTGAAGTCAACACTGAGCAAGGCCCACAAAAAGTCCCAACCACATGATCAGTGTCATGTATAGAGCTGAGTAGGGAGCAAAGACAGCATAAGGCTAGCAGGTGACAGGGTGGGCAGAATCATGCAGCTTGCTTCCATTCTGTCTGCCAAAGAGAAATCCCTACAGAGCCATTGTGGAGAAGTGAGACCAGGTCAGAAGGAGGCAGGACCTTGGGGCTCTAAAGAGCCTCAGGAGTGATCAGGAACCAGCAACCTGAATAGGGTAACCAAGAAAGGGTCCAGAGCCGCCCAGGAAATAGCCGAGGATCTCAAGTCACTTGCCTTTGTGTTTATAGGCAGGGGATGGTGGAGCCTGCAAACTGTCCGAGGGGCCTGGCAGGTGTCCCTAGAGGATTCTAAAACAGGCTGGCAGGGATGAGCTTTCTTATAATACGACACCACTGCCCAGCGTCTGTCCTCATAAACTCACTTCCTCTTTTTTTTTTTTGCAGTACCAGGGATTGAACTCATGACCTTGAGCTTGCCAGGCAGGTGCTTATGCCACTGAGCTATATTCCCAGCCCAAAACTCACTTCGTCTCCACCTCTAAGCTACTTACAAAGGTCAGCCACATAGACCTGACTTCTGCCTGCCACACCTGGCTTCTCTCCCCAGCCTGCCACCAACACACTCTAACCAAGCCCACACTTGCCCTATGTGGCCAGCCCAAAGCATCCTGGGGCCTGGTCCTTCCAAACCTCTGAACAGCAGCCACAGATCACTGTGGGGGACGGGAGGAGCTGCTCCTTAATCTTTTTCCTTTAACTTGAAGTAATACACGTCATTTAAAAATTGAACCCGGGCTGAGGGTGTAGCTCAGTGGTATAGCATGTACTTATACTTAGCATGCTCAAAGCCCTGGGGTTCCATCAACAGTAACAAAAAAATCCCCCCCAAAAAACAAAAGAAGTACAAAAGAGCCAGGTGTAGTGGCACATGCCTGTAATCCCAGCACTCGGGAGGCTGAGGCAGGAGGGTTGTTTCAAGTTTGAGACCAGCCTGGGCTACAAAGTGAGCTGAAGGCCAGCCTGAACTGCCTAGGAGACCCTGTCTCAGAAAGACAAAAAAAAAAGTAGTATAAAACGATAGTTGTAAGTCCTCCACCCAGCTTACCAATGCCGCTCTCCAGCGGCAGTCCTATAAACCTCGTAGATCCTTGCAAAAATGTTATCATACACATTTATTATCTTTTTTCTCATCTCCACAAGTGACACATGTGCATGGTTTTGTGTACTTTACCTTGTTCTCTTTATTCTGAAGATCTGATTCCCTCCTGTTGAACAGTCTAGGATTGGCACTGAAAAGCACTTTTTCCTTCATCCTGTGAGGCTGACCTGCAGCAGCAGTGCCCACCAGCAGACGTGGGAAGGCTGGTGTTCCCCTGGATCCATTGCCTCAGTTCATCCATCGCTCTCTTCCCAGCACATCCCTGAATCACGCCATCTCCTCCCGAGGCTTCATGGGGCTCCCACACAGGCCCCTCCCCTGAGGTCCCAGGGCACACCTGCTTGCCATCTGAAGGCTGGCTGCTTGGTAGTCATTTCCAAGCTAGCATGACCAACATTATCAAAGTCATCTTGCCTCTAGCTGAACTGCACCCTGCAGTCACCCTAGTCTGTATCTGCCCTTTGTTGGCTATTTGCAGCGTCCTCTGCATCCAGAATCCACTCCTGCTTCTCTTCAATCTGTTTCTTGCTTGTTAGAGTGATTTGGAACATGCAAATCTAATTACGCCCCTGCTGAAAACCCTGTAGTAGCTGCCACGCTGCCATTAGGGCCAATCTCAAAATCCCTAGCCTGCCCTGCCAGGGCTGCGGAGCTGGGCCCACAGCCATCTCCCCCCACTGAGCCTTTGGGGTACTCAGCTTTCCTGCCTTGGGCTCTGCCCTCCCAGGGCCCTCCTCTCCTCCGTGCCCTGCTGTCCTGACTTTTCCTTCTCGTGTACCTTATAGGTCACTCCCTCATCAAGTGTTGAGGGCTGCGACCGCACTGTCCTATTCAGCCTCCGGCCCAAGTGACGCCTGTAATCAGACTGCATGGACTGCGTGCCGAGCAAATGAGTATGCTTGTACCCACCACTGCTGTATGCTCAGTTCCTCCTGCCCCTGCCATTACACTTACCGCTACGTGGCACATTACTGAACTTGGGCTCTGTGGCCAGACCACCTGAATGTGAGTCCATGTTCTGCCAATTTACTAGCTGTGTGACCTGGGACAAGTTACCCAGGATCTCTGCGCTTGTTTTTCTTTTGTAAAACGGCATGAGTGATATCACTTAATTCACAGAGGGTTAAAGGAAATAGCATATAATTCATTGAGATTAAATGAAAATATATTAATTGCTCAACAATGTATGTATCCAGCGTTCTCCTTCACTCCTTTGTAGGCCACACAAGCTAGTTCTTCCCTCAGTGCTAATTCTGCTCTGGACTGTTGTTTGTTTTTAGGAAAAAACCATGTCAGCTGAAAATGCGTCCTGTCTGCTTAGTCTGCTGCTCTATATTCCAGCTTCTGGGACTTGTGGACCCGACAGCCCATCAGGTACTGAGGTGAGATCAGGCCCAACGTGGTGAGGGAAGCCAGCTTCGGTCGTGCTTCAGGCAATCTGCAAGCACAGAAATGTCAGCTTACTTCTTCGATTTTTAGTCCCCTCCCTCCTCTGGTGCTGAGGAGCGCACTTGTGAGAGCAGGGTAAGCGCAGCACCACGGGGCGGCCGCTCAGCCTTCTCTTTCAAATTTCTAAGAAACTCATCCACAGAGACTTTAGACTTTATCTTGATTCTCCAGTTATACCTAAGATGGGTACAAAACATGAAGACAGACTTGTCTAGCGAGGCACTAAGTGGAAGTGGTCGGACAGAACTTGTCAGAGAAATGATTAAAGCAAATTTTAAATAAATGCTATTTTATGGCAATTTAAAAAATGGAAATCAGAGCCAGGTGTGGCAGTGCATTCCTATAATCCCAGCACTTGGGAGGGTGAGGAAGGACAGCTGCCATGTGTTCAAGGCCAGCCTGGGCTCTGCAGTGGGTTCAAGACCAGCTTGAACTGTGTAGAGAGATCCTTGCTCCAAAAATTAAAAAAAAAGAGAGAATCAGAACATTTTTCTATTTTGCATGTTTTTTTTCCCCACTGGAATCATACTCTGGACCAGAACTCCACTTTCCTTTTCAAAAAACATTAAACCCAAAATTTGAAAGAGAAAAGCTGCTGAGGGTATCTGCCAGGGTTCTGGCGTCGGGTGCACCTGGGTGGAATGCTGATGTCCTCTGGAGACCCCTGACCTAGTAACTTTTTGGCTCAAATTTGTAACATAAAAATTTTCAAAAATGTCCCAGTGAAATATGCGCAATGTGCCAATTCACAGTAATGTTTTATATCTAAGACAACCATAAATAATAATTTCTCTGAATAACTGAAATCTTAGAAACAGAGGAAATCAATCTGGAAAGCCTGATTCTACTCCTGACGGGTACAACCATGTCCATAAATTAAGACTATATAGTGCATTACAAAACAGACTATATCCAACTCAGCA